AATTTTCAGGAATTTTAGCAATTTTCTCAATTTTCAGGAATTTTTGCAATTTTGCAATTTTTACCCATTTAAAAAACTGAGTGTTATCGTTACCCCCAATGGGAGTAACGGTGTTATTCTTTTTCGAGCCCTCTGACATGGAACTCATCAGATTTTTTTTATTGGGACGCTAGTGGTGGATAGAAGCTAATGAAAAATCATTATTATTTATTCACCACACTTTGTGTTTTTCATTTGTTTCAATATCTTTCGTGTACGTGAACCATTCAATATTCAATTCGAATGATAATTTGATGTGAGATAAACATTTAGGTTATAAAATTGTTATATATAGTAGGTGTAACATTATTTCGAATAACAAGGAAACTAAGAAGGATAAGGACAGTTCATACATAACAGATAGAAAAGTGCTTACCGAATGTCAAATCTCTAGGTTTGGTTTCAACAAAAATAAAAAATAAAAACCAAAAATTCATACGACCTCGAACACCTCGTATAAAGAAAACAAGTGTCTCCACGACAAAACAAAAAAATACGTGTATAATATTTCAATTTCTGCTATCGATTGTCAAAGTTAGACGAGCTAAACCTGAGACACCCTGTATATATTACAGGAACACCTTCAATTTTTAATCTCCATATTCCTTTCGAATCTACTATCCACTATTTCGATTACATTTTATTCTGCCAACAGTCATCATTGCGAGGTATATTTTGACAGACTGTCTTCTGCACAAATAATGCACAAATATTGAAAAACGCAAATGTCACTGTCGGAATACTGAAGCAAACTGAACAAGAACAATATTCCATTTCCCCGTGTATAACACTAATTCCAGGATTTTCGGACCCTTTATGTCCGCCGCTTTTATGCCCACCGCCTTTATGCCCATCGCTTGCCGCTTGCCAAACATGTTCAATTTTTTATCATCTAATTGGGTGAGTCACCTGGGGCGAAACTATTATTCTTCAATGAGAGATTTTTCTGTTTATCTATTTCCAGAAGGCAAATTCTTAATGTTGACAAGAATATTAAAATAAGTAACTCGTATATTATATAATACCAGTAATTACCTAGAATAAATATGATGGAACTTCTGGCATTTCTTATATTCGCATTTTGAAATTGGAATTGGGTTTCTACCTACAAACCATACTTTTTTTTATTATATGGGTTACCTAATAAACGTACGTCGTATTCAAAAATTCAATCAACCCATCTACAACTTCTTTTGGTTTCATCTCCAGTGCTAAAATTTTCTGAATAGCTTCTGTGCTACTTTTTATGAATGAATTCACTATTCAGTAAACCATTCATAGTATCCATGTAGAAGTGCATATTTCGTGTGAGGGCGCTCTTATCAGTGAAGAAGAAAATTTGCGTCTGCAGGGGTCCAGCAAAAATCACTTTTGATGGTGATATTTTGAATGGATCCTTGCGAATTTTTTTGACAACAAAGATAAATGTATAAGAGGCATCTCTCGAAGTACTTTAAAAAAAATATACCTAGTGAGAAAAAAAATAGTGAATCTGGTCAATTTTCTGGAATTTTTTTCGACTATTTTTTTTCAAAATTTTGAGAAAGTACTCCGAGAGATGCCTAGATCCAACCTTCTGAAACGGAACCGTGAAAAAAAATCTGAAATTTATTCAGCGAGCTTCGAGTATTTTGATTTCTGCCGTTCCTTGTTTCCCCAATGATCGCTCATAGGGTTAAACCCCTCTTAATTGAGTGCCTTGTTTTATTGCCTAAAATTACATGAAATGCCTCGAATAAATCCTGAACAAGTAGCAAGATTGGTTGCGTTAGTAAACGATGGGCGTAGTAGACGTTACGCCGCTCGTGCAGTGGGAGTTCATGAAGCAACTGCTCGTAGAGCAATCCGCAAGTACGAACAAATAGAAAGCACCGCTCGGAGGGTCGGTTCTGGTCGCCCCCGAAAAACTTCTCCAAGAGATGATCGCTTCTTGAGATCGCGGATTTTACGGAATCGATGCTGCGGTAAATGTTCAGCAAGATCTTCGCCAAATTCGTGATGTTGCAGTAAGTGAGCAGACGGTATGTAGACGTCTAAAAGAAGTTGATTTAAAAGCTAGGAGACCTGCAAAAGGTCCCAAATTATTGCCCGAACACCGTGCTGCTAGAAGAAATTTTGTTGAAAATTATGGACAGTGGAATATTCCTGAATGGTCGAATGTTTTGTTTACGGATGAGTCAAGGTTTTGCCTCAACTTGGTGGATGTAAGAAAAAGAGTGTGGAGAAGATTTGGTGAACGGTTTAATCAAAATTCAATAACAGAATGCGAAAGTTTTAATGGTGGGACCGTTATGGTGTGGGGAGGGATTTCAATGAATGGAAAGACACCCCTTCATGTTCTTCCGGTGAGGCAGTCGACGAATGCCCAAATTTACATTGACATTTTAGAGCAGTATGTCTCACCTTATGCAGAGTTAGTGGGCAATGATTTTATATTGATGCAGGAGAATGCCCGACCACACACCGCAGCAATAGTGCGAAACTTCTTAGAAGCTACTGGTATTACCATATTACAATGGCCTGCGAGAAGCCCCGATATGAATCCTATGGAACATTTGTGGGATGAATTAGGGAGAAGGGTACGTTCTCGCGAGAGGTCTTCGGAAAGTCTCGCAGAAATGGCAGATGCATTAGTGGAAGAATGGGATCGTATACCAATAGAAACGATAGGCAACTCAATTTCCAGTATGCCTCGTAGATTAGAAGTTCTTTCAGAGTTGCTAGAGAAGGCAATACACGGTATTAAGCAGTCATCCCCATTTATACTTTTGTGTTCAATAAAATTGTTTTTTAAAATTATTGGTATCAGTTTATTCCATTAGAAAATTGTTCCTCGATAAATTCAGAAAGTTCTTAATCTGCAAGGATTCAGCAAAAAAAGCTGTAATTCGGAAAATTTCAGAGATAAAGCGATGAATAAAATAACAAAATGCTCGCAAAGGAAGCCTCTTCCGTATTGGGTGTGAGCACTTTCTATGCCATTACTCCATTAACATACAGGGTGAGTCAACAATTAAGAATAAATCATGGTTCGAGTTATTCCACCACCATCAAGGAGACTTTGAAAAAATTTTCACCTCTTTATTTTTTCTCAAAGACAAAAGCATTACCTACCGACAAATAAAAAAAATAAGAATCGACCTACTATTTTTTTGTTTTTTTTTTGTTTCAAGAAGATAGGTCAAATATCAAGTGCGTCACTTTTTTGGAACTGAGTGTATTGCAGTAACGTAGATATACATTGTACATCATTGAATCAGTTCAGGGCACTTGTTAGAAACCATATATTCGTTTGATTGATCAAAATTCGGAATTTATTTTTGTTTCATCTTCAGATACTGAATATTTAATATTATGGTAATAATAACTTTGTGAAATGTAAGCATCAGAGTATTCTGTGTAGCTTGTGGGTGCAGTTTTGGGATTCTGCCTGTTTGTATTCTATTTTCATTAAATTAATTGATAAATAAATGAATAAATACAGGGTGTTTCAAAAAAACCTAACCTCCTTGCTCGGGTAGGTAGAACATTGCAAAATGAGTTGGGTTTGCTCTGTGAAAAAATGTAACGGCATCCGTTTCCATGATACAAGGTGTTGAAAAAATTATTTTTTTACACATTTTTCACGATCATTCCGGAACTACTGGCAACATTGTAATGGAATTTAGTATGGATGTTCCTTGAAATCTCACACATCGCATGAATTTGTTTTTATATCTGACTCTCATAGAGGGCGCTAGTTACACGGTTCGTACCGAGTATTTTTGAACATAACTTTTTTGAGGTTAGATTTTTCAATCCAAATATGATATGAACTTGAACATCATTCAATTTTACACCAAAAAGGTACTCCTGGTGAAACTTGATACTATGTTCCGTTTTCGGAATATTTCGATTTGAAAATAATGGAGTAGTAATGATGCTGGTATAAAATGAATTTTATTGAGTTCAATTACCTATTTATTCAGGTTCAAAAACAATAAAATCATTCTTGTGCTGAAGTTATTGGAACAAAGAATCATAAGTAGAAAATTAAGAGATATTTGACTAGAAACATGAAATATTGAATCAATTAGAGTAAGTGTTCAAAATGTCCTACGTTTCGAGGAATACACGATTCTATATTCTTTTTTTAAGAATGTATTATTCTTCTGAACAGTTGAGGATCAGCTGTTAGGTCATTTAAATGATGTTCAATTATGTCTCACAACTCTTGACGTGAATTTACCTATGTAGCATAGACTTTCTGTTCAAGATACAACAAAACTGTGTACTCCATGTTCTTAGTCAAATCTGTTTCAATGATATTCTTGTGATTTATTGTTAAATCAATGAGTTTTGCATCAGAAATGTATTGTTGTTTTCGGTTTTCAATGAATAGGTGATCATTTTTCATAATACTCACTCTAATACATAGCTTTATACCAGCAACAGTTACCATCATTTTCAAATCGAAATATTCCGAAAACGGAACACAGTATCGAGTTTTATCAGGAGAACCTTTTTGGTGTGAAATTGAATGATGTTCAAGTTCACATCAAATTTGAATTGAAAAATCTAACCTCAAAAAAGTTATGTTCAAAACTACTCGGTACGAACCGTGTAACTAGCGCCCTCTATGAGAGCCAGATATAAAAACAAATGCATGCGATGTGTTAGATTCCAAGGAACATCTATACAAAATTTCATCACAATGTTGCCAGTAGTTTCAACGTAATCGTAAAAAATGTGTAAAAAAAATATTTTTTCAACACCTTGTATCATGAAAACGGATGCCGTTACGACATTTTTTCACTGAGCAAACCCAACTTATTTCGCAATGTTCTACCTACCCTAGCAAGGGGGTTAGGTTTTTTTGAAACACCCTGTATATGAAAAATGCCATTATGCTGCCTGTCAACAGATATGAAATATCGAAAATTTTTCCCAGTCACAGAAAATAGTAGATGCATGATATTCACCTTGTCGAAGGCGCTGGGCCTGTGGCAGCGGTGGTCCCCCCGATGGTGTTCGGGCGGCTCCATGGGCGGGCCGAAAGGGCGGCGCAGGAGGGGGCGGCGGGCGGCCGGGCGGGGGCGAGGCACGCCTCTAGCCGAGCTCCATGGGCGAGCACAGCCCGCGCCCCATCACGCCCACACTCACCCCCACATACAACCTCCGACCACTGCAACATATGGAAACACAACATCAACATTGTCCCTATGTTTTCTGTATTGTCGAGAAGTACAGGGTGGGCAAAATTGGGCGTTTTCACCGTCTATCTCAAAAACTAGAGGAGTTATCGAAAATCCGATAAACATGTTACGGGTTCGATTTTGGAGAAACCTTGAATGGCACAATCGAAATTTCGATATCTTCATTCGTTTTAGAGATACAGGGGGAAATTGAAAATTTGCCGATTTCGATTTTATTTTCTGACTACTTTACGGTGAGGGGTATCAAAAAATTTCGAACGTTTATTTATACAGTATGATGCGTGGAATCCATTGGCATCATCAGAGATTTTATACAGGGTGACGTTGAAAAGATACGGCAGACAATTATGTTATTTCTAATGGAACACCCCGTATATTTTGGCACAGTTGAATAGTCCCAGGCGTTCTCATTACAAATATATATATAACCCTATCTTTTCCTTCCACAATTTCAGATATATTCGCAAAAATATATTCATCAGTGTGTCACATTTTTTATGGTTACACCCCCGTATCTTCTGTAACTGTCAGAAAGATACAAATGATACACTCATGGAGTCATGGACCAAGTGGGATCATCTCCAATGAGAACACTGCTCGCCAGCAGCTATGGAATCATCGATATTTCTGGATAATGCTATCAACAGGCAGAATCGAGGTTGAAAATGACACTATATATTCACCAAATGTGGAAAATAAATATCATAGGGAATATAATTTCCAGATAAATGGATATTTGGTGAGGAATAAAATGGGAAATTTTTCGATTTGATATCATTGTTAACAAGACATTTGAGATATAGAAATAATACCAATAATTTACTCAATTAGGAAATCAGTAGGTTGCGTTGAAAAATATAGCCTTATAGAAGATGTCCAAATTCCAGATACAGAACAATTTTTTTTATGGAACACCCATATATTTTGGCAGAGCTGGAAAGTTCCCGTTTCAATTTCAAATATATATCTTATTTATTATCTATTTGAACGCAAAAATATTAAGGCATACTAGAAATAATGGGTGAAGTATCATATTCAGGCATTCTGCCACAAAATATTAGGATTGTTAATGTTTCCACGTGTTTCCATCAATAATTCTTACAGAAGATACGGGGGTGTAACCATAAGAAATGTGACACACTGAATATATTTTTGCGAATATATCTGAAATTGTGGAAGGAAAAGGTAGGGTTATATATATATTTGTAATGAGAACGCCTGGGACTATTCAACTGTGCCAAAATATACGGGGTGTTCCATTAGAAAAAACATAATTGGCTGCCGTATCTTTTCAACGTCACCTTGTATAAAATATCTGATGATGCCAATATATTCCACGCATCATACTGTATGAATTTACGTTCGAAATTTTTTGATACCTCTCACCGTAAAGTAGTTAGAAAATAAAATCGAAATCGGCAAATTTTCAATTTCCCCCTGTATCTCTAAAACGAATGAAGATATCGAAATTTTGATTGTGCCATTCGAGTTTTCTCCAAAATCGAACCCGGAACATGTTGATCGGTTTTTCGATAACTCCTCTAGTTATTGAGATAGACGGTGAAAACGCCCAATTTTGCCCACCCTGTACAAATGCCTATGAATCAACTCTCTTTCATTAGTTTCATTTCAAGATCCTCCGTCATGAATTAAATGCAGTTGATTCCCTAACAACACACTTATGTCCCATGGATATCCTCAGGACGTTCGAATTTGGTACCGTGGACGTCCATCAAACATCTGTGAGACGCAAAAATGTCCCACTTGAGAATCAACTAGGGACGTCCTTGAGGGATGTCCCTGGGATAACAATCGAATACCTAAATCCTACAGTATTCCTCATCAAGCACTACTGGGGACATCCTAAGGACATCCATAGGACAACCTATTAGCAACGCTGAGGGATATCAATGTCCATAGGATGTCCCAGGGACGTACGAATTATTCTTGAATTCGAATTTTTCCGGATCCCTCTAGGACCAGATCTCGCATAACAGATTAGGACATCCAGTTGAGTTGATGGTCCGTAGAATAGACATTTCGATTGTTATACGATCCTGGAAATATTAAGGGCGTCTGTGCAGAGATATTTGAAGGAATGTAACATCATCAGGGACATTTCATGGTTGTCTAGAAGGGACATTATTTGAGATCTGAAGTCATGCCAGAATATGTACTATTAGGGACATCCGATGCATGTCTCTAAAGGAACGTTTGAAATCATATCCCATCAGGGACATGCCAAGGACGTCCTTGCATGGACATTCTACAATATGTACCACGTGAGACGTCTAAGGGATGCTATTTCTAGGACATTTGAAATGATGTACCAGCTGGGACATTGCGTGGACGTCCTTGCTCGGACATTGCATGAGATGTACGGGATGGGACGTCCCAAGGACACTTATTTCTGGTTCGGGACATTCGGACTAGAATTGTACCAAATAGGGACGTCCCTAGGACGTTGTGTGCTATTAGGGTTATGACCCAGGTGATCAATCAAAGTTCAAAAGACCGAGATTGTCCATTAACTAGAGAAAATATCGACATTATGACCAAATTTACTATTCTCAAGTTTTTGATATTTATTTATTCCGTTCGATCTCTTTCAATTGTCAGAATGTATTTCTGAAATTTATTTGGGGCAGAAGGGGTGTTCGCATCAAACTTCAATACCGTTTTTATTTTGTTTCATAATAAGCTGCTCAACAAATGAAACGTAACGATGCATAATTTCATTCTTATTAAAAGCTTCGTATTTTCTGAATGACTCAACTGATTTTCATTTCGTTTTCAGTTCCTAAATGATAATTTCAAAGGGTTCAGAGAGATTATAATTGGTAGACTAAAAAATTTGTAACTGGAAAACTATAGGGTGATGAATGATGGTGTGAAAAATAGCCCAATTTGAAATGTCTTCCGTTAGCAGAAAAAAAAATTTTCAAGACTTTGTTGATAGAAAGGTTTCCTTGAAATCTTTCGTTATTTTTTGAAAAGTAACTATTGGTAGAGATACGATATTTTTTCCTGAACATTGTGATTTGTGACGTTTTTTTATTATTGTATCAAAAATATTGAAGTTTTCGTATCGAAATGCATCAGAAATATTCAAATGCTGCAAAGTTTTGGAGTTGAAAAGTACGTCAAATAATGAAATTATGTATGTATAGTGACTGCCATGCTCAGAAACCCAGACAGCACCAGAAAACAATTTTCGTTCAATCACTTCCGGTCTCCCCAGAAACGACCCTAACTTTTGATTTCCCTTTGTGTGATTTTTGAATCTAGCTTAGTTTTTGAGTAAACAATAAAAATGCGATTTGACTCCAAATTTTAATTTCAAGACCTTTATTGAGATTACTCAATAGCCCCAATTTGAATCATTTTGAAATTTTGGGGCTTTCTCAGTCTCCATCCATTCTGAATTCTGGCACCATCATGAGAGCTTATATATACAACGGGGCTATGAATAAAAACGATTGATACTCTCAACTTCAACATCCTGTATCTCAAAAATGAAGCAAGTTAAAACACATGTGAACTTTATTCGCTAGAATATCAATAGGAAACACCCCTTGGATATTTTCGGTGTTATTTAGATACACCCTGTATATATATCATATTTCATTTTTTTTCTGACAAAAAATTCGAAGAGGAAAATTATAAAAATCATGGTGCCATTCTTTTTTTATCTCTTGGAGTGCACGAAAGGGAATCCCTATAATGTCCGATAGGATTTATTTTGAAATCTTGGAGATTATAAGTTAAATACTGTCTGTAGGTTAATCGAGGAGGTGGTACATTCATTATTCCAAATTTTTTGGGATTTTCTCTCAGTAAGGACGAAGGAACATAAGTACAATAAAGGAAAGAAACATCGATAAATCGAAACTAGCTGAACATATCCTTACTGAAGATGGACAACATATGGCAGAGTGGAATAATATTGAAATCATTGGAAAAGAAGATAACAACCAGAAGAGAAAAATCAAGGAATCTGCTTGCATTCTTCTGAACGGAGACAATAGCATTGCTTCTTGTTCAGTTGATATAGATAGAACATGGTATTCACTACTGAAATCTGAACATGAAAATGGTGGTACATTCATTATTCCAAATTTTTTGGGATTTTCTCTCAGTAAGGACGAAGGAACATAAGTACAATATAAAGAAAAGAAACATCGATAAATCGAAACTAGCTGAACATATCCTTACTGAAGATGGACAACATATGGCAGAGTGGAATAATATTAAAATCATTGGAAAAGAAGATAACAACCAGAAGAGAAAAATCAAGGAATCTGCTTGCATTTTTCTGAACGGAGACAATAGCATTGCTTCTTGTTCAGTTGATATAGACAGAACATGGTATTCACTACTAAAATCTGAACATGAGAATGGTAAATTCAAGATCAATTAATGAAAACATCCTGTAACTCCTTTGATTGCCAACGTCACCAATTGTCATTGAAAACTGAAAAGCTTCAAGACATATAATACGACTTCGCAATTGAAAAAATCTCTTCATGTTGAAAACGGGAGCAGAATCGGTCCCGAAACGTCCAAAGATAAGTGAAAATTTGATATTTTTTCTATATACCTTTATTTATCTTCTCCAAACTTTTTTCAATACAAATTGTCACTGACAAGCTAGTGAATTTTTCTTTTAGGCTCTCTGATAGGAAAATTCTTTAAACGCAGTGACATTTTGGGGCAAATCATCTGATTTGTCCTTACTACACGTATATTGAAATAATATTCATATTTTTATTTTATATAAACGAGGAGAGAAAATCCCAAAAAAATTGGAATAATAGATTATAAGTTCTCGAGAATACTTCCTTCGGCAATGAATTTCAGAGCTTTGCTGTTCTGTAGACAAACGAGTTTTTGTAAAGTGCTGTTCGACATATTCTTTCGAGATGGACAATGAAACTATGTGCTGACTAGGCTTGACGAGTTCGTTTGA